TTGGGTGGGTCGCGGGTGGGTCGCGGGATGGGTCGCGGGTGGGTCGCGGTGGGTCGCGGGTGGGTCGCGGGTGGGTCGCCGGGGGGGTCGCGGGGTGGGTCGCGGGTGGGTCTCGGGGTGGGTCGCGGGTGGGTCGCGGGTGGGTCGCCGATGCAAAAGAAACCCGCCGCAGGCGCCGAAATTTTGGCTTGTTCAGTGAACGTAGTTTGGGTCGCGGGTGGGTTGCGGGCTCTCCACCCCAACTGGAAGGAAATTAAAAACAGCCCGCCGCAGGCGCCGAAAATTTTGATTTGTACACTGAACGCGGTTTGGGTCGCGGTTGGGTCGCAGGTTCTCCACCTGGGACGAATGCAAAGGAAACCCGCCGCAGGGGCCGAAAATTTTGGGTGGGTCGCGGGGTGGGTCGCGGGTGGGTCGCGTGTGGGTCGCGGTCGCGGTGGGTCGCGGGTGGGTCGCGCGGGTGGGTCGCAGGGTGGGTCGCGGGTGGGTCGCGGGTGCGTCGCCGGTGGGTCGCGGGTGGGTCGCCGGGGGGGTCTCGGGGTGGGTCGCGGGCGGGTCGCGGGGTGGGTCGCGGGTGGGTCGCAGGTGGGTCGCGGGTGGGTCGCGGGGTGGGTCGCAGGTGAGTCGAGGGGTGGGTCGCGGGTGGGTCGCGGGTGGGTCGCGGGGGGGGTCGCGGGGAGGTCGCGGGGCGGGTCGCGGGTGGGACGACGACCACAACAAACAACAAAAAACAAACAACAAACAACCAACACAAACAACAAACAACAAACAACAAGCACAACAACAACAAAAACAACAACAACAACAACAACAACAACAACAACAACAACGTTCGTTCGTTCGTTCGTCACTCTGCTTACCCGAAGGTCTGCGGCAACCCGCGTGCAGGCAAGGCGCACTAGCCCAGATCCGCACTCAGAAGTCGATGGCTCAGCCAGAATTCTTTGAGATCTGCCCACTGCTCCTGGTCCATGGCCACGTTCTGCCAGTCGTCGCCCAAGATTTTTGAAAATTGGTGTTCGTATCGCCACGCATGAAAACGCTTACCGTGACATTGTTGGCCGTATGACCTTTCCAACTGACGTAAATATGAAATGCCACGGAATTGCAAAGCTTGCCAAGCAATCCGGTCCTGCGCATATTTGCCAAAACGCGCTACATGGCCAGCCCACGTAAACACTCTCCCCAAACACATTCTGTCCCAGCGTTCTAATTTGTATCTTGCTCGCAGCGAGTTCAGCTTCTCATTGATCATGCGGCAATGCTCCCCGAACATATTATCGTCCCAGTCGAAATCGAAGCTCTGATGCGTCTCCGCAGGCAGCTTGAACGTGGCACCCAAGATACGTCGCATCATCTTGTTTTCCGTTGCCCGCATTCGCTGTAGATGCCTCTTCGCGAGGTGCAAGACCCCGATGTTGTACGTCAGAGCCGGCAGGACGAACTGAGACAAGGCCTCCAAACGACGACGGAGAGGACTGGCCTTGCAGGTCAAAATCCTGCGGTGCTTTCCGAAAGCGCTCCACGCGCTCGAAATCCCCCGCTCCACCTCCACGGTCGCATCGTTGTTCATAGTATGAACGTGCCCCAGAACTTTAAAGCCCGGGCACGCGGAGTGAACGAGAGGAAACTCTCAGGCTTGTCGTTCGCCTTCCTGGCACGTTTTTTCGGCGGAGCTCCGGTAGACTGATCCAGATTTGCCCACGCGTCGTGAATGACCAACGGGTGCTCGCGATCTCTCGTTGATGACCACGCGCATGAACTCAGTTCCACGGTCCATCCGTGATCCCGCACTCGAGTATGCCAAGCATCGACCATTTGTTGTAGCTGAACCTTCGAATTCGCCAACAGCCAATAGTTATCTGCGAAAACCCAAATAGGAAGGCGCCTGGTATTTATCGACGCCTCCGGCGCCAACCCGGCCCTTTGCAGCACCATCAGATCCTCGTGCTCAATAGAGACTCCCCAACCATTTTTTGAACATAAGGCTAAGAAAGGGCAAATTAGGGTCACGTCGGCGACGATGTTGAACTTTTCTGGGCCTGTGGGGTTCCCTTGATGAATGCTTCTCGTGCGTGGTACTGGAATCGTAGGTCCTCCTCTGGGGAAGCGGAGGCGCCCACGCGCCCTTCTGACTTCCCGGGTCATGCCCGCAGCGATCAATTTCGGCACGCCTTTCTCCTGAAACGCTTCGGCACAAGCGCCGTGATCGACCGCATCGTAAGCCTTGTACAAATCCCCGTCGAAAATGAACAAGCCGAGATCGAACTCGAGCGCTTTTTCCGTCAACATGCGAAGTATGAATTGCACTTCCGCAACTTGGTAAGATTTTCTGAACGCGAATTGGTGACAAGACATTTTGATATCACCGAGCTTCCCCACCTCAGCCAGGACCATCATGTATATTTTCCACAATGCAGACAAGAGTGCAATAGGCCTCCACTTCTGGATCAAAATCGGGTTCACAACCTTTTCTATCAAGTGTATGTCGAACTCATCCCAAACATCATCTTCCGCGAGGGCTGGATAATTTATGATGCGAAGGCCGAATAGGGCTGCAAGGATCTCGTAAACCTCCTCTGGCGCCTCCTGCAGCATCTCGGCGACCACCATGTCTGACCTGGCACAACTCTTTCCTTTCTTGAGCTTCATCGTACAAATCCGGACCAAAGCCGGAGAGATACCACCCAAAGCGTCGAGATCAACTCGATCCCATCTTGAATGGATCCAGTCGGGCACCGGCTTCACGTTCGCCGATTTGTACAACGCTGTGAAAAAGGTCACCGCGATGTCGTGGACCTCGCCCTCTGTCTCGCACAGCACGCCGTCCCCATTCATCAGCCTACCCATCCATGTGGATTGAACGCGATCGCGTACCCCTCGCCTCAGTCGTAGAAGGTTGGCGCACTCGTGCTGGAGTTTGACAGCCAAGAGATCACGACGTATAATATTTGAAGCTAAAGTGAATATGTGCCGTGTCCGCGCGTCTTCCGCAGCATGTCGAAGATCAATCAGACTACGAATAGACTGAAGTAGTGTTTCCTGGTCTGGGGCTGGACGAAGACCCTTTGACACCGCGCGTCCAAGCCTAGACGCGACATCCGTCAGTGTGGAGGTCGAGATGGTAAGAGAAAGTAAAGGTCGCCCTTGATCGTCCATCCGGGCGTCATGAAAGCCACGATGCTCGTGCGCGTCCGCCACGTCGATGTCTCCTACTACTCTCGCATGGCGCCGGCGCCGGGATCTTGGCTCCAGCGTTCTAAGATGCTCTTCCGCCTCCGCTCTAGCGAAGGACGGTGGCGACCTCCATGTACTCAGCTCTGCTTCCGGAGCAGTCGCCGCCATCATCGTCTCCTCCCACCGGTGCACGCCCCAACTCGCGAGGCTAAAACCTCGTCGCGATATCCAGGCCGCCAGCGTCGAGGAAGGATCAGCACCTGCCTTCGCTAAGCCATCCACGTATAGGTTACCATAGTTCTTGACATGGCCTTTCACCCATGCAGGGTCACATACTGCATAAATAGATTGAACACTCCTCCACAATACCTGCAACGTTGCCACCAAAGAGACATTCACAGTAGGATTGTACGTGCACCTCAAAATGTTCACCACGTACAAAGAATCAAAAATGAACTTAATCTTGTGGCCGTGAGGGATCTGGCGCTCAGCTTCCAGGAGTTCGGCCTGATGTATTAACCAAGCGCACGCCTCGACAGGAGCCGATAATTCGCCAGTCGCACTGGAGACTCGGGTCGCCCTTTCGAAGAGCGGCTGCGTGCTATCGATCTCCACTGGGCCACAACACTCGTGCAAAGGACGCTCTCCCATCCCTGGGGCACCAGTGTGGAACAAAGCGAATCCCCACCCACCTCTGCCTAGAAGACGGGCCCGTTTGACGCCTCCACGGCCGTGAATCCGGTCAAAGAAGGAGCCGTCACAGAACAAACCCATAGCCTCGGTATCCGTCCACGCGGCGCGGTAACGCCCAGAGCCCCCCACTGCTTCGACGAGAGAGTTCCGATAAGAAGTGACGTCCGAACAAACCCATCCGACGGGCTTCTTCGAAGATAAATCGGCACAGGGAGAAACTGGCGCCCAGGTGGAGGAAGGGTCGGAGAGGCGTAACGACAGGATGAGAGGAACGTGATTTGTCGACGTCGCCGAACACGAACTGACCTTGGCAGTGGCGTCCTCCAAATCAATCCCCCTCGTCAAGAAATAATCGATCTGATTCGGCAGGAACCGGAAATCATGATAACACGTGTGGTAACCCAAATGATGAAAATGATAAATATTTACCGCCCGTAAACCATACGAACACATCTCTGCAAACAAACTTTAGGCTTTCCATGGGCGCTCTTTGCCAATAGGGTCTCCAGTGCTATGGGTGTATGGGCCCACGTAATCCTGACAATAATCCATGCCACGGAGGTTGCAGTTAGCATCCACTCCCAAAACAATCTTAGCTTCAAGTGGAACCGACTTCACAAGAGTACTCAAATCCAAGAGAGAATTATGGTAATCTGCTTTGCTGGAAGATGGATGTAGGTGCACAGTTCCATATAGGATAGGACCTAACTCCGGGTGGCGGCAATATACCCCTGCCGCTCTCTCAAGAATGCTGGGCTCCCCCATCAACCTCAAGGCCGAGTCCCGGTGGATAACGACTGCCGCCTGCTTGGCTCCCCGTATAGGACAGCAGCAGTAGACAGCGTGGCCTAGAGTGGAAGTAGGTGGCTTCGCCTTTTTGAGAGACAAAAATTCTTGAAATAAGCTAACTGACCAATCAAATTCACGCCCTAACTCGGTAAGGAAGTCTTCCAACTCCGCTTGAGGAACGCCCCGGACATTCCACGATATAGCAATCGAATGTCGCCCCCTGTTCCGTCGACGCCGGAACACCCGACCCTTCCGAGAAGAAGCTCACGTGCGTGCTGCCGCCTGCACCGCCGGCGTGAGCGAGTCTAAGTTGATGGTTACCTGGATGGCCTCGATCTTCGCCTGCGCTCCCTTCACGACCCGGAGGAGGTGGGTCGTCCTGTCTTGCTCGAAGATCTTTACCGGCCGTACCCCCCAAAGCCCCCCGCCCAATTGAGCGGGGAGGAAGATCACATCGCCGTGGTCGTTTTTGATGTCGATCGCCTGCTTGGCGTTCTCCACGCTCAGGTTGTCACCGTTCGCCTTCACCAGGGCCTCCGCCATGAGGGACTGGGCCTGGCTCTGCTGTCTGGCCAACCCTATCTCCCACCCCAGTTTGTCGATGCAGTGCCAAAGGAAATGGTTGGCGCGATCAGGAGCTGGTGAGGTGAAATGCTTACCTTTCATCGCCTTCTGAAACTCCCACATGCGATCCTTGTCCGAGAAATGGATTTTGACCCGGTCCCCATACGTGCCCGTGCCGTGCACCTTAGAAACCCCTGCGACATGCATGCGATCGAGCTCCCCCTTGATAACATCGACATGCTTTGTGACCTCATCGTAAGCGAAACCGCCTACACAGACAACCTTGCGAAGCTTGGGCGGTACGTAGGCTGTGTTCGAACACGCCGCGCTCAAAGCCTGGGACAAAGTCGCAGAAAGAGGACAAAGTCACAGAAAGAGGACAACAACAACAACAACAACAACAACAACAACAACAACAACAACAACAACAACAACGACGACGACGACAACAGCAACAACAACACTAACAACAACAATAACAACAACAAAAACAACAATAACAACACTAACAGCACTAACAACAACACTAACAACAACAACAACAACAACAACAACAACAACAACAACAACAACAGCAACAACAACAACAACAGCAACAACAACAACAGCAACAATAACAACAACAACAACAACAGCAACAACAACAACAACAACCATAACAACAGCAGCAGCAGCAGTAGCAACAACAGCAACAACAACAACAACAACAACAACAATTACTAGCACGTGGGGAAACAACGTTCTCACCAGTGCCAGGGTTTTCATAGGAGGCGGGCAATACCCCCACTTTGTGGGGGGGCCGGTTCAAGCTCTACCAAATTTCCAAACGACTCTTCGCCACCACCCACACCCAGCTTCCCGCCCTATGACGTTCGGACACTTCACTTCGTGGCATGCGGACGACCGTGGCTACTATTCAGGGCCCCGCGGCCGACGACGACGGCGTGCGCGCGCGAAGAAAAAACGAATGTGTCCCGCATGGTATTATTTGACAGGGATGATGGCCCTGGCAGGTGCGCAACCGTTGTTGCAGAAGTTCGAAAAAGTTGCTCGCAAAAGCCCGTTTGACAGAAATGTTTAAAAAGTGTTGGGTTTCCTACGAATCCGCAAGAGCGCGCGGGATGAGATTTTGACATTTTTTTTGAAAAACCATTGGTTTTTTGATGTTTTTATGTTAAAATCGCTACGAAAACTAAGGTTTTGGAAGGATTTCGTCTTGCGCGCGCGAATGTCCACTTTACCTTATTTTTTGCAAGGGATTCTTGAAGTTTGGTTATGTTAGAACAAGAAATGTCCACTTTAGCTTATTTTTTGCAAGGGAAAACCGATCGTAACAACACAACCGGATCCGGACCAACCCGTTTTGCCTGAGACTTCCTCACGAAAATGATGAAAATGAGGCTGCGGCCTAGGCGCGGCGGGGGGGTCGTGCACCAGGGGCCCCAACAATGATTATTCTTTAGAAGTAATAATGTTCAACAACAACAACAACAACAACAACAACAACAACAACAACAACAACAACAACAACAACAACAACAACAACAACAAGAATCCGCATCGCGGAATTCCACTTCAGCCACGCACCCAGGGACAGTGAATGACCGTTCGGTTCAGCCCCCTCACTCTGATGTACTGAACCGTCTTGGGCTCGCCTTGGGGTGCCGTGGGCTCACATGGAGGGCCTCCTGGGTCCTTTGAAACCCAAGTGGCGTCGTGGGGGGAGGTCTCTGGCGCCCCCCTTGAAGGGGCCCCCAGACAACGGGGCGCCTCGGCGGACATTGTGGTGGCGAGCCTCCGCACCAAACTGAGGCTGGTGTACAGTCGGGGCTGGATTGGAGAGGACACGCGGGAGGGCACGAGACCCGTCTGAGGGTCACATTGCCAAAGAAATGTAGAAGGCATAGGTCGCGAAGCACAGGTACGAAGGTACCCTTGATTTGGCAGGGTCGACCTACTAATCAAATCTCGACTGTAATTAGGATGGGGAACCCATGCGGAATTGTGGCACGAGTCGTTGCCGTTGTGGGCTCGCTGGAGGGCCCACGTCGCCGCGGCTGGATCCGCCTCGAGACTCGGGTCAGAGCCCGCTGCAGGACGCGTCCGAGGGGGGGCACGCGCGCGCGCACTGGCCACCACCTGCGAAGCCCCACGGCGTGCGACGCGCAGTGCGAGCCGCACCCCGAGGGCGGCGCGCAGTCCCCCACCCGCACCTGGGCGGAGTCGCAGCGGCTGCGCGTGCGCGCACGCGCGCCCTCGTGAGGGGCCGTCCACCACGGGCGCGGGAAGGCGTGGCCCTCTTGGTGGACTTGGGCCCGCTGCCGTCTGGCGAGCCACGGCGCTCGCCGCCGCCCTCGGCCGTCGGATCCTGCGCTGCTGCTCGCCGCGCACACCGCTCGACCAACAGAGGCCTGGCCTTCACAGCGCGAGGGGCATCGAGTGGGCCAGCCGCGCGCAGCTCGACGGCGTGGCACTCAAGACAGGAGGGGGTACGGACCCCCTTCACACTCGAGGGGCTTGGGATCAAGGCCTGTGGAGGGGCAGGGGAGGAAAATCGGGCACGGGGGCACGAGGATGAGGACACTAGTAAGAAGAAGGACAGGCCTGGCTGGCTTCGGCTGTCAAACCAGAATCTGGGCCCTAATTGAGCACAAGCTTGGTGGTAGTGCATCCTTCCCTTCTCCCGAACGCCCAGAAATCTCTGGAGAACTCGAAGAAACTCCGAAACCCTTCAAAAAGCTCGAAACACACGATGGGAATATCTAAAACTAGTCAAACACCTTTGAAAAAGTCTCAAGGCCCGCGAAAACTGCAGAGGCCTCTCTAAAGCTTTGGACATCTCTAGAAGCAGCAGGAGACCTCTGGAAACGCTCGGAAAACACCGAAAACTGCGCGCGGTCGAGAGGCACCCGTCTCGACGACGACGACGACGACGACGACGACGACGACGACGACGAGGACGAGGACGAGGACGAGGACGACGACAACAACAACAACGACGATAACGACGACGACGACGACGACGTTGATCACAGCGACGTTGGCGGCGACGGCAACGACGACGACGACGGCAACGACGGTGACGGCGACGGAGGCGACGGCGGCTGCGAAGACGGCAGCGGCGACGGCGGCGACGGCGACGAGTAGGACCGAGCCGGAGCGGCGGCGATGAGACGAGGAGGGCGACGACAACAACAACAACGACGACGACGACGATCACACAACGACGTCAGCGGCGGGGGCGGCGACGGCGGCTAGCCTTTGGCCAACTCGGCCAACCACATGGCGTACACGAACTCGCGCAACGAGAGGCGCCCGTCGCGATCGAGGTCCGCGAGCCTGAAGATCTGGGCGCGTGTGTTCGCCTGCAGGGAGGCGCACCGAAGAAACTCTCTCGGGAGGCGGCGTACACCAAGCCAGGCCTGGGCAGGGCAGATTCCTGTCGTGCCGACGTCGGCGTTGGCTTCAGACACCGCGTGGGATCGCTCAAGCTTCAACGATCGGAGGTTTTACGATCGCCAGGTCGTCCCATACTAGCAGATTCTGGACCACTGGCGGCGCTCAACCTGGAACGCCCGCGGCGGGGTCGCAGCCGCGTCGGCACGACGCGACCCTGCCGCACCCGCCTCACATCCGCCGACCCCTTGGGGCCACGGCGTGTGAGATGCTTCCCCCTCCCTAAACCCCTCCCCCGGGAGCCTGGTCCGGCCAGTCTGGAGAGGGGGGGGGGGGCAAAGGTGCCGGCCGCACCCTTGGAGCCTCAGGGGGGCCCCAAAACGGGCCAAGAGGGCCCCAAAGGGCCCCCCAGACGGTCCAAGAGGGCTACGAGTCGCCGAAAGATCGCTCCAAGACGCGCAAGATCGCCTCCAGACGGTCCCAAAGGGCCCCCAAGACGCCCCAAGAAGCCACCAAGAGGCGTCCCAAGAGGCCCTCCAGAATCAAAAATCGTCCCATTCCCGAGGGAAAACGTATTGTTTTAGTACATTGGCCTCTTGGGCTTTCACGAGGCCCACAACGGCCCAAGAAGCCATTAAGATCGACCCAAGATAGCCCAAGAGGCCCCCAAGAGGGCTCCAAGACGGCCCAGGAGAGCTCCAAGACGGCCCCAGAAGCTTCCAAAACGACCCAGGACCCCAGGACGGCCCCAAGAGGAGGCCCAGAGGGGGAACCCGAATGAACATTTCGAGCACTCCGCCCCGAAAAAACCTGAGGAGGCGCCAATAAGCCCCAAGAGGCTCCCACGAGGCCCCCGAGAGGCCCAAAAGAGGCTCCTAGAGGCACCAAAACGGCTCCCACGAAGCCTCAAAAATGCTGCCAGGAGAGCCCAAAGAAGCCCAAGAGCACAGCGGCGATCCGCCAACCGCCCCCGACGAAATCCCAAGAAGCTGAAACCCCAAGATTCCCCAAAAATTGTTCTGCTAACTCCGCTTTTCACCCTTACGGCCGCACCAAGGGGTCGGCGGTGCGGCGTCAGCCAATGAATCAAAAACTGACAGCTGCGGAAGCCGAACTCCGCTCCAGGGGTTCAGACCCCGAGACAGTCGACGACGCAGCTCCAAGCCTGCATCGGAGGGTTGTGGTGGAAGCGCGCGAGGCCTCGAGGACCAGGGAAAAGGTGTTCAGACGTCTTTATTCGGTGGCCGTTTCGGCTTTGCGGGGGCCTCCAAAAGCCTCCTGTGACCTCTGGGGACATCCAAGGACCTCTGGGAATGCTCCTCCAAGCATGGGACGTCAGCTGACCCCTGCCCTGAAGACCTGAAAGTCACCCGCCGTGAACACCCAAGCAGCGCACGCCTGGACAATGGCCCGAGACCCTCGACCGAGCGGAGCACGCCGAGAGGGAAAGGGCACGGCGGGCAGCTGGATTAAGCCACCGCGTGTCCACCTCCTCCGGTTCATCCTTTTCTTGTTCCTGCTGTTCCTGCTGCTCCTCTTCCTCCTCCTCCTCCTCCTCCTCCTCCTCTTCTTATGTGGTTTAGTATTATTATTCTTAATCGTATTATTATCATTCGTCTTCCTATTAAGTAATCGTATTCTTCCTCTTGTTATAGAATTGATCTTATCATTCGTATTATAATTTGTACTTTTCATGGTATTAATTGTAGCATGCTGATTCTTAGTATTATCAGTATTAGTATTACTACCATGATTGTTATCCTCATTAGTGTGATTATTAGTAGTATTTTCATTAATAATATAAATATTAGTATTAGTATGATCATTATTAGTAGTATTACTAGTATTCGTCGTCTTCTTCTTGTTGTTATTCGTATTCCTCCTCCTCCTCCGCCTCCTCCTCATCCTCCTCCTCCTCATCATCTTGCCTCCTGCCTGCCTTGGGGGACGAGTCCATTGAGGTACCCCACTAAAAAAGAAAGTGAACGATCCTGGGCAACCCCCGTCAGATTTTGCCACCCCAGGAACCAGGGGCGACACCTGGAACCTGGGGCCGCGGCGGGGGGGGGCCCAAGCTTCTGGCAATTCCGGCCAAGCCTTGCGATCAGGAGGAAGCTTCCCATCCAAAAACGCCCTCCCCACCCTCTGTCCATGGTCTGTGAGGCCGGCCAGACACGCATGTCCTCCCGAGCTTCAGCAGCTTGCCTCTCGAGGGAACGCCTGAGCCTCCACAGAGCTGGCACCAGTAGACCCCTCGGTAGGCTTCCAGCCTATGGGCGGGGTGAATTGTGTCAGGGAAACCTGGGCAACCCGATCGCAAGAAAGCCTCCCTCTTTCCTCGGTCGGACTGGCAACAAGCAGGCCAACGTCAAAATCCTCGGGCCCTCTGCTCCACTGAGTGCGCCAACCTGTCGACAAGCAGGGCCAAACTAGACTGTCTTTCTTGGCGCAAACGGGTGGGGGAATCTTCGCATCCCCCAGGCGGCTCCCCTTGGCCGAAGCTCCGTACAAGGTCGGGGGCTGCTGGACCAAAGCCGTCGAAACCGCCAAAAGGGAGTCCAACACTTCACTACACATATTATCTGCCTCGGCAATTCCACGCCTCGCATGGAAGGGCACAAAGGACCCCAAAGGGGCCCCGAAAGGACTCCAAAGGGGCCCCAAAAGGACCCCAAAGGAGCTCCGAAAGGACCCCAAAGGAGTCCCGAAAGGACCCCAAAGGGACCTCGAAAGGACTCTAAAGGGGCCCCAAAAGGACCCCAAAGGGGCCCCGAAAGGACCCCAAAGGGGCACATTCACTGACTCCACAGGCAGAATCAGTGAATGTACCATTTCACTGATTTTACCTGTAGAATCAGTGAACTGCCCAATTCACTGATTCGAAAGCTGGCTTGGGGAAAATCAGTGAACTCGCAAGTTTACTGATCTCAACTTCTGGTTTCACTGATTTCTCTCCTCGTCCTCCTCCTCCTCCTCCTCCTCCTCCTCCTCCTCCTCCTCCTCCTCCTCCTCCTCCTCCTCACCCTCACCATGCTCTTCCTCTTCCCCCTGCTCCTCGTCCTTTTCCTTATCGTCCTTTGCGTAGTAATCGTATTATTATTGGCATGTTATTAGTAGTAGTTTTCGTAGGCTTCTTCATACTATTAATATTACGATTACTAGTAGCATCAGCATTAGTGTTAGTAGTGGCCTTACTACCATCGGTATTTTTATTGTTCGTATTACTATTACTAATGTTGTTGTTACTACTGCTACTACCGTAGTATAAGTACCATCATTCGTCTTACCATCAGTATCTAGTAGTAGTAGTAGTAGTAGTAGTAATAATAGTAGTAGTAGTAGTAGTAGTAGTAGTAGTAGTAGTAGTAGTAGTAGTGGTAGTAGTAGTAGTAGTAGCTGTTGTTGTTGTAACCGGAATCGTAATATTAATAATACCAGTAAGCGTACAATCCTTAATAGTAGCATGTCTACTACTAATACTACTACTACTACTACTACTACTACTACTACTACTACTACTACTAATACTACTACTACTGATCATAATAACAAAATTAGTCTTCGTATGTGTCGTATTAGTCTTCCTCAAAATATAACTATCACAAGTCATACTACGTTTCTTATTCATATCACCATGCGAAATCTTACTATTCTTATTAACAACATTATTATTATGATTATTCGTATGAGCATTCTTATGATTATTAATATAATCAGTATTCATGTTATTCCTCCTCATGATCCTCCTCCTCCTCCTCATCTTCCTCCTCCCCCTCCTCAAACTGTTTTTTCTCCTCCTCCTCCTCCTCCTCCTCCTCATCCTCCTCCTCCCCCTCCTCCTCCTCCCCCTTCCTCCTCCTCCTCCTCTGCCTCCTCTTCCTCCGTCCAAAACAGCGAAAGCAGAGCTGGACGCACGAAAAGTGATTACTACCGAACGTGTGCCAATGGGGAACCAACCGACAAGCAGGTGACGGATGCAGATAGACGGATCACACATACAACTGTTCCCAACCGTCCTGTGGTGGTGGGCCCTGATTGGGAAGAGACAGTATCCCGCGTTCCTTCTTCCACATTCCTCCTCCACCTCCATCCTTGCCTCTGCCGTCCGCATGCTTTGTTTCGGCACACCTCTCACACGATTCGTGGCCCCACAAGGCCCAGGTCAGGGTCGCAGCATGCGCCGAAGCGCGCCCTGCAAGGGCTGCTGCGCGCGCGGCAACGCAAGCCACTCTACTGCCGCAACCAAATTCTAATAGATTCTCGCACGCGCGGTTTTTGATGATTCTCACACGTTCGTTCCACCCTTTCTTGAATATGCTCACAATTTCTTGACTATCCTCGCACGCAAAACAGAAACATACAGGAATTATAACTGAGTTGTACAGGATGAACAGAAAATGTACATATTTTCGCGGGACGCCCTGTAACCCTCCTTCCAACGGGGTCCCACTTCAGAGCCAGGCTGCCCCAGCGCCGCCCAGTGCATCCCTGAAGTTCCTCGAGGAGTCTGTCTTTGCGCAAGGCCTGCGCCTGCAGCAACGGAGGCAAACCAAATGTTCCAAATTCCTGCTCAGCGCGACGCGTTGATCGCTGGATCCGGTCAACATAAGGCTCGCCAAGCGCCCTGCCCACCCCAACGATCTTCCTAAGCACCCTGCGCATGGCCTCAATGAGTTTCTGTGACCTCGCCGCTATTAGTGTCCACGCACCACTTCCATACAGAACAGCTGAAAGACACCACGGCGCCGAACTATCTGAATGTGGATTTCAGCAAGTGGTTTTTGCTGCACAGCTCGGCCTTGAACCAGCCGAGAGCCGCCCAACCCTTGGAAATTCGATTCCGGATCTCCGCGTCGTGGCATTTTCCGAAGGTCGGCTGCCTGCCAAGGCACGCCGTGCTGTCGCCAAATGGTAGAACCTCGAATTGTCCTTCGCCCACCTGTGCGTGGCGTTGTCGCCGCACTCCCCTTCGGTTCTGCACGTTGGACATAATCTTTGTTTTGTCCAGCGTGTATCTCCCGCCCAATTTCACCTGCAACGTTGTTCAAATCTTCAAGCATTCTACGAATTTGCACACGGGTGGACCCAAGTAGAATTATGTCATCTGCAAAACGTAAATTTGTCAACGACCACAGCTGCACTTGAAACCCGAGCTGGCCGCCCTCCACTTGTCCTTCAGTCTTCGCATCGTCGATTCAAGCACTGCGTTGAAAAGAGTTGACGACATCGGGTCTCCTTACTTGGTCCCTCTTTCAAGGATATACGCGCGGCTGCTGCAGTCGGAGACGACTTGCCCCGTCTGTCCCACGCACAAGCGCCTCAAAAACCTGCACGCAGGGTTCTGGGATTCCGTGCTCGCGCTAGGTATTCCAGATGGCAGAATGGTTCACATAACCAAACGCCTTCTCCATACTCACTGCAGCAACCCAAACGTCGATGTTGAATTCCATCGTCTTTTCATAGATGAGTGTCAGCGTCACCATGTCATCTCTGCAGCTGTACCAGTTCCGAGAACAAGCTTGGTCAGAGGACTTCTGACTCCCAAGGAATGTCTCCAGTCGTCGGTCGAGAGCCATTGCACACAGCTTGTACATAATCGGTAGAATTGTGCTGGGGCAATAGTTTCCATGAAATTTCCTGACACCCTTCTTGGAAATCACCTTCACGCAGTTGTGCCTCCAAGACTCCCAAGACTCATCTTCACGGATTGAGATGCTCGTGAGCACATCGGCCATCACATGTTTCAAGTACTCTCCACCAACTTTGAACATTTCTGCAACGATCCCTTCTGTGTCCGCTGCCTTCTCTCTTTTCTTCAGCTCTCTCACGTGATCGTCGATTTCTTCTGCTGTAATAGACGGTATAACAAAGGCCAGGTGCCACAGGGAGCCACCACAATATCTCCTGCTATAGTTGACTGGGTGGCCCCACAGGGAGCCCCAACTAGGGCCCAAATACCGGGGTTCGCATGGCGGCGCCGCACCCGCTCCGGCGCACCCCTCACACGTTTCGTGGCTCGGTACAACTAAGGCCCACATCAGGATTCAGGAATCAGGAGCTCTCTGTCGAATGCCAGGGTTCGCGGCCCAAATGCCAGGAATCGCACGGCAGCGCCGCCTCATTTCGGCACACCCCTCACACGCTTCGTGGCCCCAAAGAGAGCTCCAACCTCGGCCCAAAAGCCAGGGTTCGCATGGCGGCGCCGCCTCATGTCGACACACACCGCACCCATTTCCTCATACTCATCACACGTTTCGTGGCCCCGTGGGGCTCGAACTAACGCCCAAATCCTAAGGGTCGCACGGCGGCGCCGCCTCATGTCGACACACCCCGCACACGCGTCGTGGCCCCACAGGGAGCTCCAACTACGGCCCAAATGCCACGGTTCGCATGGCGGCACCGCCCGATGTCATCACACTCCTCGCACGATTCGTGGCCTCGGAAGGAGCTCCAACCAACGCCCCAATTGCAGGAATCGCACAGCAGCGCCGCCTCATTCCGGCACACCCCTCACACGCTTCGTGGCCCCATAGGGAGCTCCGACTACGGCCCAAATGCCAGGATTCGCATGGCGGCACCGCCCGATTTCATCACACTCATCACACGATTCGTGGCCCCATAAGGAGGCTCCAACTAACGCCCAAGTGACAGGATTCGCACGGCGGCGCCGCCTCATGTCGACACACCCCTTACACGCTTCTTGGCCCCATAGGGAGCTCCACCGAACGCCGAGAGCCCAAATACCAGGGTTTGCGTGGCAGCGCCGCACCCATTTCCTCACACTCATCACACGTTTCGTGGCCCCATAAGGAGGCTCCAACTAACGCCCTCATCCCAGAGGTCCCACGGCGGCGCCGCCTCATGTCGGCACACACACCCTTCACACGCTTCGTGGCCCCACGGGGAACTCCACCGGAGTGGTAAGGGTCGCATGGCGGCGCCGCACCCGCGCCCTCGCACCCCTCACACGTCCCGTGGCCCCACAGGGAGCTCCACCAAAAAAACGGTAGCAAGATTCGCATAGAGAAAACGTTGCTGCTGCCGCGGCCCCGCGCCAGTGTTGGCGCGCAGCGGCACGACAATGGAAAAAGTCGATGCTACCTGGGGGCGGGCCCCCCTCGGCCACCTCCTCCGCCTCCTCCTCCACAGACTCCTCTGTGCCCTCCTGTCCCTCCTCAGCCTCCTCTTGGCGGCGCATGGCGGCGCCGCCTCGTCTGGAACACTCCCCTCACTCACACGCTTTTTGGCCCCACGGAGAGGCCACCGTCCTTCCTCTCACCTGCCCTGCGGCACTCGCGCCTGCATATGGTGGGGCCCTTCGCCAGGAGGATTCCCAACCCTCCTGGCTTCTCGTTGAAAATAGAGCACAGTGGTACCCACTCCTCCTTCTCCTCCCCCCTCCTCCTGCATCCTCCTGCGCTGCTCCTTGGGCGGCTGCGGACTGCGAGAGTGTCGTCTCTCTCGTGGGCTCCTGGGAGGTCCAGCAGCATGGAGGTACACGCATATCCAGTCGAGACCTGGCGGCGCCCTGGGTAGCTGCGAACTGTGCAACTGTTGCCACTTTCGTGGGCTCTTGGGAGGTCCAGCGGAGTGGAAGTGTACGCGCGTCCAGCCGAGACCACGCGGCTCACTGGGTTGCTGCGAACTGCGCGACTGTGGCCACTTCCGTGGGCTCCTGGGAAGTCTAACGGGGTGGAGGTCCACGCGCATACGGACGGGACCTCGCGTCTCCCTGGGTGGCTGCGAACTGGTGGTTGCGAATTGCGCAATTGTCGCCATTTTCGTAGGATCATCAGAAGTCCAGCAGGATGGAGGTGCACGCGCATCCGCCCGAGACCTCGCGGCTCCCTGGGCGGCTGCGAACTGCGCAATTGAGGCCACTCTCGTTGGCTCCTGGGAGGTCCAGCGGGGTGGAAGCGCAAGCGCATCCAACCGAGACCACGCGGCTCCCTGGGTGGCTACGAACTGCGCAATCGGCAATTGCCGCCACTCTCGTTAACTCTTTGGAAGTCCAGCGGAGTGGGGTGTACTCGCATCCAACCGAGACCTCGCGGCCCCCTGGGTGCCTGCGAACTGCGCACCTGTCGCCACTTTCGTGGGCTCCTGGGAGACCCAGCGGAATGGAGGTGTACGCGCGTCCAGCCGAGACCACGCGGCTCCCTGGGAAGCTGCGAACTGCGCAACTGCACTTCCGTGGGCTCGTGGGGTATGCAGCGGAATGGAAGTGTACGCGCGTCCAGCCGAGACCTCGCGTTTCCTTGGGTGGCTGCGAGTTGCACAATGGTCGCCGCTTTCGTGGTCCCCTCGGAAATCTAACGGGGTGGAGGTGCACGCGCATCCGGACGGAACCTCGCGTCTCCCTGGGTGGCTGCGAAGTGCGCAATGATCGCCACTTTCGTGGGCTCCTGGAAGGTCCAACGGAACTGAGGTGCACGTGCATCTAGACGAGACCTCGCAACTCCCTAGGTGGCTGCGAACTGCGCAAGTGTCACCAGTTTCGTGGGCACCTGGGATATCCAACGGGGTGGAAGTGCACGCGCATCCTGCCGAGACCTCGCGGCTCTCTGGGTGGCTGCGCACTGTGCAACTGTTGCCACTTTCGTGGTTTCTTGGGAGGTCCAGCGGAGTGGAGGGCAGCGCTGATCACTTCGAAACTTCGAGGCCGGCTGGTCCAACTCAGTGATGGCATTAGCGGGATGTGTTCAGTGGATTACACCCGAGCATATACAGATGGGGGATCACTTGCACGTACAAAGGAAACGTGGACGTGCACGACGGCAAACATACACATGCAAGTCAGGCGGTGCCAGCAGGACTGGCGAGGAGACTGTGCGGCTGCGGGGTGGCCCAACTATAGGGGCAGGACAACCAAAAGCGAAGG